CACAGCTCTTTTTGTTAGTGAGAGTGTCATTCCAGTTCATCTAATCTGTTGTGTTATGCTATCATATGTGTTATATGACTATGGCTAGAGACTCCTTTATGGCCTGGTGTCAATTGAGAATGGTTGACAAAATCAGTCAGTGGTTTTCAATTCTCTCCTCAGGGACCCCCAGCTGTTCCAGAGGTAGCTCACTTGATTCAACTTGTCAATTAACACAGTAATAACGCCGATGGAATATAATATGGCTGACCAGAATAAAAAACCCTGTATGGTTCTTCAAAAGGATTTACAAAGAACCTTTCAGATTTTGAAAGGTTCTTTATAGAACCATAAAAATGGTCCTATATAGCCCCAAAAAGGGTTGTAACCATAGAGGAACCCTTTTTTGGTGCTGTATATAACCTTTTTTAATGGTTCTTTATAGAATCTTAGAAACAGGTTCTTTATAGCCACCATACAGGTTCCCTTTAGAACCTTATAAGCATGGTTCTTTATAGAACCTTCAAAAAAGGCTTTTATATAGCACCAAAAATGGTTCTATATAGCACCAAAAAGGGTTCCGCTATGGTTACAAGCCAAAGAACCCCTATCTGGTACTATTTAGAACCATTATTATGTGTGTGTGTGTGTGTGTGTGTGTGTGTGTGTGTGTGTGTGTGTTTGTGTTAGCTCTTTGCTGTGACCCTGCCTTATTCTGTACCAGGCACCATGCTATGGAGGGTAACACACAGACACAGCATAAGGCTTTATCAAGGATAATATAAGTGTTTTAAAGACACTGGGACACTAGATCCACCTCAGCCTAATGTAATTCCTGCTCTGTGTCAGGGACTATGTAAACATCCTTATCTCTCTCCCAGGGTGGGGTTTCAGAGGCCCAGAGGAAGATATACTGTATAATATGTATATTTAAATTCTTCCCATAGCCCTGCCACAACTAATGCCCTGTAAAGAGTGTTCCTTCTCCTGTAATACTTTAATAGGCCCTGTTGTGTGTGTCTGTATATGTTTGACTGCACACGTGTGTGTGTAGTGTGTGTGTGTGTGTGTGTTGAGTGATACTCTTGGCTTTTAATGGAACCTCTGAATGATTTCTATTCATTTCTCCATTTCTCCCAGGCCTCATCACAGAGCTATGATGGTGATGCTATAACACCATAACACCAGATAAATGCCCTATTCACAAGATATGCTGCTCTCTCCTTCTCTTCTGCAGTATATATATTCGGTTCCCTGCGGGTTCCCCCTTCAGGAAGAAGAGAAATGGAGAAAGAGCCAGAGAGAGAGGATCCTAAGAGAGAGATAGACGAGGAGATAGAGAGAGAGAGAGAGAAGAGAGAGAGCGAGCGAGCTATCTCGAGAGAGAGAGATATCGCTCCTCTCATCTCTCTCTCTCTCGCTCTCTCCTTCTGTCTCTCTCTCTCTCGCTATCTCTCTCGCTTCTCTTGTCCTCTCTCTCTCTCTTTCTTACGCCTTTCGAGAGTATATGGAAACTGAGCTGCACTTCCTAACCTCCTGCCAAATGTATGACCATATTAGAGACACATATTTCCCTCAGATTACAGAGATCCACAAAGAATTCGAAAACAAACCCAATTTTGATAAACTCCCTTATCTACTGGGTGAAAAACCACAGTGTGCCATCACAGCTGCAATATTTGTGACCTGTTGCCACAAGAAAAGGGCAACCAGTGAAGAACAAACACCATTATAAATACAACCCATATTTATGTTTATTTATTTTCCCATTTGTACTTTAACTATTTGCACATTGTTACAACACTGTATATATACATAATATGACATTTGAAATGTCTTTATTCTTTTGGAACTTCTGAGTGTAATGTTTACTGTTAATATTGATTTGTTTATTTCACTTTAGTTTACTATCTACTTCACTTGCTTTGGCAATGTTAACATACGTTTCCCATGCCAATAAAGCCCTTAAATTGAAATTGAAATTGAATTGAGAGAGAGAGAGAGAGAGAGAGAGAGAGAGAGAGAGAGAGAGAGACTGCATACACAACAGGACTGTTGCAAACCTGTTATTTACACCGACCACACTACTGCATACAGCTGTAACCAGGCATTTCAGCTATACGATAAAGAAAGGCATCTGCAAGGGGAGGACAGCGAAAAGGACCAGGAAAACCGGTTACTGACGGTAAACATGGTCCAGGGCAGTGAGGCTGCACTCAGCTCTTTTGTGCAGGACTAAGGAAGATAGCAGAAACCAAAAAGGACAAGGACAGCACCCCGATCTCTCCCCTCACCTCAGGCACTCCAACAGCAGGAGCCCAGGCCCAGACCCACACAACAGATCTGTCCTCCCCCTGCCTGCCTACGACCACCAGAGCCAAGACCACACTACCATCAGCCTGCTGAGAGACAGGCTGGCTCTGTTAGAGGTATGGGTTACTGAGCTAAAGGAGCAGCCCCCCCCAGCTACACCACCTCCAGCCCAGACACAGAGCTTCTACAGGACCAGATCAACCAGTGCAGGACCCAGCTGAAGAACTCTGTCCAGGAGCTGAGAGAGAGCCTTACCACAGTGCTTGAGGAGGTAAAGGCACCATGAGGAGAGAGGCTCACCACAGTGCTTGAGGAGGTAAAGGCCACCATGAGGAGAGAGCCTCACCACAGTGCTTGAGGAGGTAAAGGCACCATGAGGAGAGAGCCTCACCACAGTGCTTGAGGAGGTAAAGGCCACCATGAGGAGAGAAAGGCACCATGAGGAGAGAGCCTCACCACAGCGCTTGAGGAGGTACAGGCACCATGAGGAGAGAGCCTCACCACAGTGCTTGAGGAGGTAAAGGCACCATGAGGAGAGAGCCTCACCACAGTGCTTGAGGAGGTAAAGGCACCATGAGGAGAGAGCTGGTGCAGGTAAAGGAGGAGATGGCAAAGGAGTTGTCTGTCATCAAGAGGGTGCTGCAGCATAGAGAACAGACTGTAGAGACCCTTAGAGAGAAGCTGCAGCCCCTCACCACCCCTAACACCCCCACTGACCCACCCTCACCCACAAACCCCCCCCCCACCCCCCCACCCCCATACCGACCACCCTTTACCCCCCACACCCCCAGTCAACAAGGAGGCTCACATGGGGACACCTACTACAGAGAGAAGCTCTCTGGCCCCCCATGACACACCCCCACACACCCCTCCTTATACACAGGCCCTGTGAACCCCAGCCCCAGCCCCACACCGTAAAACCCTCTACTCTGGTAAAACCCACTGAGGTGGCCATCCTCATTGACTCAAATGGGAAATTCATCCAAGTGGATAAATTCTTCCCCCACCACAAGGTGTCCAAAATATGGTGCCCAAAAACGCAGGATGCACTCCACATCCTGTCCCAGCCTGACTTTGGCACACCAGGCCACATTATTATTCACACCGGCACCAACAACCTGCGAGAGGAGCAGGAGAGAGTAGGCAGCCTGGTCAACAGAGTAGCAGAGAGGGCCTTTGAGTGGTTCCCCCAACTCCCACATCACCATCTCCACTCTGCTGCCCCGCAAAGACTTTTATTCCTGTACCATTCAGAAAGTTAACGCTGACATCACCAGAGGGTGTGGCCTACTCCCGAACGTGCACGTTGCTCACCACCCAACAGTCACCCCAGAGCATCTGCACGACCACTCCCACCTGAGGAAGCAGACAATAGGGATGTTTGCCAAGTCTCTAAAGGACGTGGCACTTGGTAGACAAACACCCCATGCCGCACTGGACAGAGGACCACCCAGAGACCCCTACCAGACCACTGCACCACCAAGGAGCCCCAGGCCCCCTCAACGCCCCACCAGAACCAGCACACCCCACAGGCTCCACCCACCACCAGAGCATCACCACTTCCATCGGCTTAGCCAGACTGGACCGGGCCCAGCCTACTACCCGCACCAGATCACCACCTCTACCAGACCAGAGAGGAAGCCCCCCGGCCCAGACCTGGCCCCCTCCACTCCACAGGGCCCAACAGCAGGACCAGTGCAGCTACGCGGAGGTCCTCAGAACCCTGTAGGATTGAGTGAGATTAAACAGCTCCTCCAATACATCTGCACTAAACTGCACTAAACGCGCACGCACACGCACACACACACACACACACATTGTACTAAAAGTTTACTTGTTCAATGAATAGGAATATATATATATATATATATAACAGAACAAATGTTTGCTGTTATCCTGTTTATCTCACTCTTAACAACTTAGTAGTTAGAAGTTACTGTATTTTTGACTGTGCTGTTCTTTCTTTTTGCAACATGAAATCACTATCAGTTACCATGTGGAACATTCAGGGCCTAAACTCATCAACCTTTGGACTGAAGAGTTTAGCACTGGAGTTTAAAAAAATCTTAAAGATGTTGATGTCATCATTCTGCAGGAGACATGGTGTAAGGCATACATTGTCACTAACTGTCCCACAGGCTACAGAGAGGTAATTCTGCCGTCACAGAAACACAGCTCAGTCAATAGAGGCAGAGACTCTGGAGGATTGATCATTTGGTACAAATCCGAACTACAAAATCTAATTGATCCTCTCGAAATTGGTAAATATCACATTTGGTTAAAACTGAAGAAAAATATGTGTTCCTTTGCGCAATATATATCCCCCCCCCCCCTCGGAATCCCCATATTACTGAGAGGACATATTCCCCAGCCTTGAGGAAGAGACGTGCCATTTCCAGGCCCAGGGAAATGTGCTCATCTGTGGGGACACAAATGTGCACACAGGAACACTACCTGATCTAACAACCATACGAGGGGACAGCTTTATTACAGGCCATACTGTTTCTAACTGTCTTAATCTCCCCCATAGAAACAACAGTGACAGCACCATCAACAAAAACGGAAGGGATCTGTTGCAGCTCTGTCGAAGCCTGGGTTTGTACTTTGTAAATGGTAGGTTACGGGGGGACTCTTTGGGGAGATTCACCTATTGGCCACATCACAGTAGACTATATGATTACAGACATTGACCCTTTCTCTCTCAGCTCATTCACTGTCAAGCCACTTACACCTCTGTCTGATCACAGCCAAATTACGTTGTTCCTCAAAAGAACAGACATGGAAACAACCACACATTCACAGCCCAGTAAGCTGTACAACATCAGAAATTCATACAGATGGGCCAAAACAGCACAGAAGAATACCAGAACGCAACCAGTAACCAAAATATCCAAACACTCTTAGATAACTTTCTGGATACCACATTCACTCACAGTAAAGAAGGCATCAATCTAGCAGTAAAAAAACATCAACTATATATTCAGGCAAATGGCAAAAGAAGCACAACTGAAATTGATAAAAAATAAAAATAAAAGACCACAGATGACAACTGGTTTGATGCAGATTGTAACATTATAAGGAAAGAACTTAGAACACTATCAAACCAAAAGCACAGAGACCCAAATAATGGTGAATTACGCCTTCATTACTGTGAGACTTTAAAACTCTATAAACGTACACTCAGAACCAAAAAAGCACAGTACAACAGCCAGCAGCTGACACTCTATAAAACACTCTATAACACCATTCAAATTGACACAAACACAGAACAATGCCAAATTCATGAGAAGTTGGATGGATTAGAAAAAGCTATAAAGGACTATCAAAATCCATTGGACTCCCCAATTACTCACCAGCAGCTCTATAAGAAACTTCAGGCCCTCAAATTTAAAAAAGCATGCGGACCAGATGGCATCCTAAAGGAGATGCTCAAATTCACTAGTGCAAAATGTCAATTGGCTATATTAAAACTGTTTAATTTGATCCTGAGTGTAGGTTATTTCCCTGACATCTGGAATCAAGGACTCATAACCCCAATCTTTAAGAACGGAGACAAATTTGACCCTAACAATTACAGAGGCATTTGTGTGAACAGTAACCTGGGGAAGATTTTCTGTAGTATTATAAATGTAAGAGTGCTAAACTTCCTTAATAAGCACAATGTCATGAGTAAAAGCCTAATTGGATTTATACCAAAACATCGCACGACTGATCATATTTACACCCTACACACCCTGATAGATAAACATGTCCACCAAAATAATACCAAAATGAACGCTTGCTTTATCGACTTCCAAAAAGCATTTCATTCTATTTGGCATACAGGACTGTTCTACAAAGTTATTGAAAGTGGTGTAGGGGGTAAAACATATGACATAATTAAATCAATACGTGCAGCATCAAAATTGGCAAGAAAATAACAGAATTCTTTAACCAGGGGCGGGGCCTTCACCAGGGTTGCAATCTGAGCTCTGCACTCTTCAATATTTACATCAACGAATTGGCCACTATTCTAGAAAAATCCCCAGCCCCTAGTGTTAGTCTCCATAATTCAGAGGTTAAATGCCTGCTCTTCGCAGATTACCTATGCCTGCTGTCACCCACAGCACATGGCCTACAGCAGAGCCTGGACCTGCTAGAGCAGTACTGCCAGACCTGGGCCCTGGCAGTAAACCGCAAAAATACTAAAATAATGATTTTCCAGAGAAGATCCAGATCTCAGGGAATTAGACCAAAGTTCTCAATTGGTACAAAATATATAGAGTACTGCACACACTACAATTACTCAGGTTTAAAAATAAGCTCAACTGGACACCTTAATGATCCAGTGAATGAACTGAGAGAGAAAGCACGCAAGGCATTCTACGCCATTAAAAAACAAATTCAAATTGAAATACCTATTAAAATGTGGCTAAAACTAATTGAATGTGTCATTGAACCAATTGCACTTTATGGCAGCGAGGTGTGGGGTCCATTGTAAAACAAGATTTCACCAAATGGGACAAACACCACATTGAAACCCTGCATTCAGATTTCTGTAAGATTCTCCTACATGAGGAAAACTACAAACAATGCATGCAGGGCAGAATTAGGCCAATATCCACTAATAATAAAAACTCAAAAAATTGCAATTAAGTTTAGGAAACATCTCAAATACAGTGACTCCCTCTCATATCATTACCAAGCCCTGCAATGCCAAGAGCTGAGCAAAGAAAAGAGTCCCCTCATCCAGCTGGTCCTGGGGCTGAGTTCAAAAACCTGTTCTACTAACACACTGAAGCCTCAGGACCAGAACATCCAATCAATCAGAATAAACCAAATTACAACACAGTCAAAACAAAACTACATTGCTTATTAGGAAACACAAGCACAAAGTAAAATGCAGTGCTATCTGGCCCCAAATCGACAGTACACCGTGGCTAATTATTTGACCATGGTTACTGATCAAAACCTTAGATAAACCTTGACAAAGTACAGGCTCAGTGAGCACAGCCTTGCCATTGAGAAGGGTAGACACAGGAAAACCTGGCTCCCTGCAGAGGTAAGGCTGTGCAACCACTGCACCACAGCAGAACCTGAGACAGAGCTGCATTTCCTGACAAAATGTCATGCCGAGAGAGAGAGAGAGAGAGAGAGAGAGAGAGAGAGAGAGAGAGAGAGAGAGAGAGAGAGAGAGAGAGAGAGAGAGAGAGAGAGAGAGAGAGAGAGAGAGAGAGAGAGAGAGAGAGAGAGAGAGAGAGAGAGAGAGAGAGAGAGAGAGAGAGAGGTATCTAGGACCACTCTAAGCCGTACACTCCACAGAGCTGGACTTTATAGAAGAGTGGCCAGAAAAAAGCCATTGCATCTATTCAAAAGAGGAAAGTATCCAATCTGTACTCCTTACCCGAGGTTACGCCACCAGAAACAGTTTCTGTGTGTGTGTTTGCATTTTGCACACCCGTGTGTGTTGCATGCTCTGTGCGCTCTGCACCTGTGTGTGTACAGGACTGTAAACACACTTGTATCCCAGTCCGTATCA